GGAAGCACAAGTGCTGCTACATGTACTCGCAGACATTATGAAAGGTAAGATAACGAATCTGAAATGCTTGTTTAATAATGAAAAAATTAATTTGGAGAACCTTCAAAGCGTTTTATAAAGAACTAGAGAAAGAGAGAGAGAGAGAAAGAGGTTTCTTAAAGATACAGTAAATTTTCCCCCAACAGTTCAGTCAGATAATCCATTGTAATTTAAACCACAGTATATGTCTCCAGTGGCTAAATACATAAAACAAGCATCTATTTTCTTTGGTACATATCTTAATTTTTACAACCGATTTCCGGGTAAAGAAGCTGAAAAATTGAGCAAAACATACTCAAGGAGAAATGAGAAATGAGCTAATTGATGCAGACACTTGTCTTCTGTCGGTTTTTAGGAATACCAATTAAGCAAATTGTGGTTGTGATCAAAATAATGGGGCAGCCCACAATGCAGGGTGCTGTTAATGTTGTAGGTCATGCAGAGCACTGCATTCCTCTTCTTCACTGCATTCCTTCCCTCCTCCCTGCCTGCAAGCTGCTGCCAAACACTCTTTCTCTGCAGCCATTGTTGCTGGTCAGAACTGTTGATTTCTTATTCTTCCCATGTAGATAATAACTTCCAGGGCTTGTGAAGCCAGCATGCACTGAATAGAATACTGGAGCTGGAATGTTGTTTTGGTTTACTTAGATTTTTAGAAACAACCCTTTTTTTTCTTTTTTTTGTTTTTTTTTTTTTGTAGACAAGAAAATTTTAGTGCAATCTTTGCAATTTCAGGCTCAAATAAGGAAAGTCCAATCTCTTGTTCTAGAATGTAAACAAGTTATGGTGCTGGGCTCAGGAAAAGGCTGGTCTTGCTGTGCACAGAGCTGTGCGTGTTGGGCATTTTCTCACCCTTTTTTCATGCTTTATATGTTGGCCACTCCGAGGGAGATTCTGCCCACACCATGGAGAAAAAGGCTCATTGCTGTCCTTTACAGGTGGCAGCTGTGGCATGAGGGCCTGGATGCACCAAGAAGTTCCATCTAATGCATTATAACAGAATTTGGAGCCAAACAGTGGGGCAGATTGTGTGAGTTGCTATACATGTCAGATGGGCTTTCCTCTGCTGTTGCGTTGCTGACGGATGTTATAGACTGCCCTAGTTGACTCATCAGATTGTCTGGACTCGGCTCTTCCCCTCCCTCATTTCAGCTCCAAGAGGCTCAGGTCTTCCTCTTGCACACAGGCCAGCTGATTGGGTTAAAGCTGGCAGCCTGAGCTTCCCTTGGCCAGGTGTACCTTGCAGAACCCTGTGGTTTTTTTTTGTCAGAGGAGACCCAGGCATGCTGAGAGTTCAGGCTCTGTGGCTTCAGGGCATGTAGGAAGCAAGTGTTCCTGGGCTTGGTGCTGAAATTCAAGATTCACTGAGAGAACAGTTCCTCGCTAGCTATGGAAAGTAAATGAACCATTCACAGATACATGATGAACCCCCCTCTCTTTCTTCTACTTTCATGCTAGTGGGTCATTATTGTACATGCAAAACCCTGGAATTGTGCTCTTCTTCTTCTCATAGATGCCTAGAGACTCCTTCCTGTGACTTACTCAGCAGTTACTTAGGGATATGCTACAAAGTACCACAATTTGTTGTGCTCACTAGACAAGCTGAGCAGATTCATCATGCCTTCAAGGTACCACAGCCTTTCCAGCTGCCCAAAAACTATTTTGCTTGCCAGGAGTCTGAGGGAGGAGACAGCTTTAGCTGATGGTCGAGATGAGTCTTAAGACATCGAAGAGCTCAAATGTGAGCCCTTGGGTTCCAGAGCCAGGTGTAATTCTGACATGAGGCAGGACCTATTGTTCAGGTCTCTGTGGATGGCTGTCAAAAAAAATTTCTGATGTTAGACCCTCTTTTTCCACCACGGGAAAGCTGTATGGAGCGTCAGATTTGGAAAAAAAGTAAATGAAATTGTCATGGTTTGTTTCAGCTGGTAATTCTAACCACAGCACCTGTAAATGTAATGTTCATTTCTAGCCAATGCACTCAGATGACATTTAATCTAAAGCTAGAACTGCAATGCAGGAATACGCATTAATGATTCAGGACGCACATACATTTTCTAACTTGAAGGTGAGTTGTAAAGCTAAACTGGAAATTGAATTAAGCTGGGAAGTAAATTTTGAACAAACCTCATGATTTTTCCTTTCTGGATCCCAGTGGCCTTCTTACTGGAGGCAGAACACGCAGCTCCCTGGTGTCGCTGGTGCTGCTGTTTGCATCATCCCTGCCATCCGTCTCCACAACTAGATGCCAAGGGCACCATGCTGTGGTAACTAGGTTTTCTCAAGTTGGTAGAGAGGCTACCAGCTGTTTGTACTGGCTTGAGCATATCAAGGCTGCATCAACGGCAGTGACCTTCCTGTGACAGCATTAAGATACTGAAGAGCGTAATGCACGTGGCTCCCACGTGGCCTCCCAGACGCTCCTCCCAGCGCCCCACTGCAGGCTGGGTTTCCAGACCCTGTGCCTGGTTCAAAGAAAAGAGAGGAAAAGAATCAGAAACTGTACCAAGGTGGCAACACTACAACCAAGCCGAAGTATAGGAGTGCTGGTGTGGTCAAGGGCAGGCAGCACTCTGCTCCCCAGCACACATCACGGCTGGAGAGGCTGCAACGCCTGCCCCTGCTGGGCTCTGGGTGGCAGGCAGCTTGGGGAAGTGATGGCCTTGTTCCTCCCGCAGAGGGGAGATTCTGCATGCCTTATCAACTGATTCATTTCAGGCAGTATGGTTTGCGTTTCCAGTAACTGTTTTCATTTTAAAACAAAGCAAGGTAGTAAGTGTTTCAGTAAGTGTTATTTGTGCATTAGTTAGACAACTTCTGTTTTATTAATGAGTGTAATAATGAAAGTGCAGGTTGCTGAGTAGAAGTAAAGGGTGTTTTTATTTAAAGCATAGCAGGTATCGCGTAATGCCAGTGAATGTGTTATTGTCACTGTAGGCATGGCTGGTCTGAACCTGCCTCAAATTGGGTTGTTTCAGGTAGGCCCCAGCACTTCATAAAATGTCTTTGTCAGCCTGGTTTCCCTTCCAAACCTATCCATCTCTGTCAGTTTTTAATATTAGTACCAGGCTCTTGGCTATAGTCCATTAGTACTGTACTTAATTGCTCATGTTACAGATGATTACCAATATAAAAAGCATTAATGTTTTCCCATCGTGGAGCTGTTGCTCTCTCTGTGGTTCGGGCTGTGCAGAGCTGAGGAGTTGTTGTTTTTTGGTCATTACTGTTTGTGCTCTGTGCTGGCGGTTCCCTTGCTATCTGTGTCAGCTGTGTTGGCCTGGGCCTTCCTGAGGAGCGTGAGCCCTTGTCAGTGCCCCATCTCCCTGTTATCAGCAAGCCCTCAGAAACGGCCGCTCTTCTGCGAAGAGCTCTGCTCCCCACCTCCTTCCCCCCTAATGCAGATGTGGGTTTCACATGCAGGGGCTGAGGTTTCTTTCGCTTTTACACAGAACACATGATCATCAGCTTTAATTACCCTGTGTAAACGATAGGCTGTGTTTCTGCAGCACCAGTGACGTTGCTGTTAGGGGTTTTTCATAAATATTACACCTCCACCCCCTCAAAAAAAAAAAAAAAAGAAAAAACAACACAAAAACCACGACCAACTTGCTATTTCGCAAGGTATAAAAAGTTCCAAATAAAACGCTAGCAATTGCATGTTGGGGCCTTTTTGTGCCTCAGAGCCTGGCTGTCTTTCATCTCGGTTTCCTCCGAAGCAAGCTCCGTCCAGCAGCTACGGACAAATGTGCAGGGCTGGGGCACCTGGTGTGAAGCAGTGTGCAGCGTTGCCCCTCAGCTGTGCGGTGGCCAAATGTGTTGTGTTGGAAGATGCCATGGCCAGCAGTGGGTAGTCCCTGAGGGCTGCAGCCTGTCTGGGTGCTGCAGAGCCATGCAGGAGCTGGACTGTGCCGTGCCCTGCTGTACCATGGTGTAGGTAGCTCACGGCCTTACCCTCGTGAGCCACCAGAGCCTCGGCCACCCAGCTGTCCTGGTCAGACCCAGGTGGCAGGGGTCCATGGCAGGACTCATCTCTCTGCAAATTTGGATAGCCAAATGGCAGCTTGCTCTGAAGCCGTGGCTGCCAGGACACTGTGGGGATCAGATGATGGAGAGGGGACCTCAGCAGGCAGTAGGGCGTTGCAGCTCTGCATGGTGGTTGTGCCATGCTTTGGGGACAGACTCCTGGGGTCTGTGGATCCTGGGCACCTGCAGTGCATGCTGTACATCTGTCCCCTTCCAGCAGACTGAAAACGGTGAGATGCAGTGTCCAACTTGGAGCCCATTCTGACATTTTTCAGTCTTAATCACATGCAAAAATATTATGTATTATCAGAAACACAAGGCAGGTCAAAATAAGTCCCTTATATGGTTTCCCTTTAAGAACCATGAAGTTTCTCTACCCTAAGGATATTGTGAAGTAATTCAATATGCAAGGAGAGTCCTGCATTGCTTACAAATGCTGCATGGTTTTGTTAAAGCGTTCAGATAATTTTGGTAAAGTTTAAGTGTTTTGGTGGAGCTTTGTAGGAAATAGCAGCTGGTCTTTTAGGAGGGAAGGAAAAATAGGAGCCTTTTAGAGCATATAAGTGAAAATGTTTATGGTAGTCTTCTAATATATGTTGTAATTTATCTGAGGTTTTGGTTTACATCACTAAGTGTGAAAACATCCTCAGGCAAAAGTTAATCAAGTGTTATGTCATCCTGTAAACTACAGCTAGCTCTTTGTTTGACCCCAAAAAACTTGCCAAGCAATATTTTTTTCTTGTAATACCAACTTGTTTTTATTTTTGTGTTCACCCCACTTTCCTGCCCCCCTCCCACTACAGCTAGTTACAGACTCCCAGAAAACTTTTAAAGTTTCAAACTGTCTCAGTAGTTTTCCATCAAGCATGAATTTAAGCCTGAAGACAGATGAGGTATCGTAGCCCTCTTTTTCTTTTCCTGTTTTTTTTTTGAGTGTCTTTTGTTTTTCGTTTTGGTTATTTTTTTGGTAAATAAAAAGAGGTTTCTACTTGAGATTTTCTGCCCTCAGGGCTTTATCATTAAGATTAAATAACTGCACTCTCAAGCATACCACTGAACAAACATATTTTCAATTATGTGAGTAACAGATGCTTTAACAAAGGAACTATTGAAAATTCAGAAAGCTTCCCCCCTCCCCAAAATTTAAAAAGTATCAGATGACAGAGGAATGTAATTGTTTACCATTAAAAAACAGATCCTTAACTGTCCATTCAGAACATCTGAGAACACGCTGTTTTTTCAGAATTTCTTCAGAACTGGGTTTCCAGCCTGGTAGACTTAGTGGCCAGGACTAGAGTCATTGGTTGAGCTCAGCAGATGATCAAGTATTCTCTTCCAGAGACTGCAGGCTGATGGTCTCTCTCCCTTGCGGGGAACTGTTTCCCCATTCACATCTTCCTTTCCACCTGGGGTCTTGACCCAGAAGGGCTTGCGAGTTTTGTAGAGTGATCTGGGGAAGCTTCTCTGTCCTCATCACCCTTTGCTGTGCGCTAAATCTGGAATGGTTGCTTGCTTCCCTTCACTGAGCCATAGGATGGAGAGTGTCTGAGCTTGCATCGCCTGACAGTGCAGCTAAATCAACAGCTGTTTGTAATGTCACTAATTTCTAGTTTACCTAAAACAAAGTGCCTTTGAATTCTCTCACAGCAGTGCAGTTCCCACCTTTCAGCAGCGAGCTGTTCTCATTACCCACCAGCACTCCCAGTGGGCTGTGAGGAAAGTTGTTGATGAAAGGATGAAAGAGCCATTTCTTTAAGGAAGGGACGTTCTTTGCGAACAAAATCGAACTCAAACATATTTTGCCTTTGCTGATAAAATACATGCCAGTTTTGTACTTCAGACATATGCAAATAGTCCTATTGCTATTGTATTCTGCATGAAAGCATGCAGGCTTGCTTTCGTAACCTCTGGATTGTACAATGCAGCACAGGGAAATCAGGCTTGATTTCCTCATTGTGTTTTATATTCCCATTTCAGAAAACAGGCTAAGATCTTAAGAGTTTGGGTTATTCCTCCCCCTGTTCTCTGCTGGAAAATGGTCACTGGTGCCCAGAGAGCTGTCTAACACTCCTGTCAATCCTCACCAGCTGATTGCTGTTGAAGGTGACTTGTTTCCTATGACAGCATTGCTCGGAGATTTATTCCTTTTAAAGGATATTGGTGTACAAAAGACAAGCCTTCTTTGGGGATCAGAGCTAGGGTGTTCCTGCTGGTCCCTTAAAACAGCCAAATGCTTTGCCTTTGGGTTTCCAGGAAGACAGTGAGGCTTCTGCAACTGAGGTTATCGATTGGAGGCCCTCTGCCCTGGGACTGCCTGCCTCTGCGTGAGGACTGTTGCTGAGTCGCCCCAGCTCAGTGCCGCTTGTCTTGGCTCCATGCTCACAGGGCTGACGATGGCTCTGCCTTACTGCTCTCAAGGACCTAACAGAAAGATCCCTTAGTGAACCTGGCAGAACAGTGGTCTTCTCCCCAGCTGTGCCTTCAGGGGAAGGAGTCAAGACCCACTCACCTGTGACTTAGTATGCCCCGGAGGGAAGTGTTTTCCAAACTCTTACCAGCAAGGTGATTTGTTGCCTGTCCCTTCTCAGTGTTTCTGAATCTGAGCATTTACTGTTCTCATGATTTACATTAGCATCTAAACCTTGCATAATCTCACTAATCCCCTGGCCCCCAGATAACCACTGGCAGTGAGTTCCATGGGTTAACCGATGGTTGTGTTCATTCGGTAGAGCAGATTTAAGTCTTTTTCCATTCTCATTGCAAACAACTTCCTTAACCTTCTTGCCTGGAATGGAAAAGGGGCAGCGTCTCCCAAGTAATGGGCTCTGGTATTTTATGTGCTTCCAAGATTATTCTTGTGGCTGAGAGGCTCCCTTGCGCACTGTTTTGTGTTGGGCTTGGAGCCCTTGAGAAAGCAAGATGATGTCAATAGGAGGCATGTTGGAATATTTTATTCTGCCAGAAAGAAAACAAAAATAAACACTGAGACAAACGGTATAAAAATACCGTAGGGGTTGTGTTGAATTGCCTCCTGCCCTCCTTCCCCCAGTGCAGCCCATGGACAGAGCACTGTGTCACGGGCATATGGTTCCTCCCTGGCCGGAGCACCCTGTAATATCCACGCACAGTGGGGAGAATTAGAGAGGAAACTGGCAGCCTTAACATTTAATTTCCTTCCTCTTTCTGGGTTGGTCAGATCCTTTGCATTATTGTAACTATTTTTTTTATCATGTCTATAAATAGACGTGCTCTCATGTATTACGTGAAGCAGAGTTGGGCCAAAAAAATCATTCATTCTTTATAATCAATACATGAAAATGCAGTGGTTATTGACTCAGATTAGACCTTGTATTGTTATTTCTGTAGCTGGGGAAAAAAAAAATGTTGACTAATAAAGATTAAGGACTTTTTTTTCTTTTTATGAAATGCTAATGATGAAGACATGTTTGATATACTGTGAAATACATTTCTCTAATGTGAAGTTTCTGCTTTTTGTTGAGAAAGATATTCAGTCCCTGGAGGATTTTAGAATTTGTAAATATAAAATTATCTGCTTCAGTGTTTTTCAAAAAAATGTTGGCAGAAAGCCAGATTACTTACATTACTGTAATAGATTTGCTGACCTCTGACATCTGCTGCAGAGAAGTACATTGAATTTTTCATAATATCAGATGATGCAGATCTGAAAACTCAGTACACTGCACCATTATTTAATTCAGGACTTAGTAAAGCAAAACCTTTTTTTGAGTAGCAGTTTATACGTGATTAAACTTAATATTGCCCATCGTAATAAATCAGGATTAGTATAGTACTGATTTGTTAATCTAACTTGCATTGATTTTAAGTTGTCTTTATTTAAAAAAAAAAAAAGACTCGCTTTTCACAGTGACTGAATTTAATAAGAAGCTCTGTGATAGCAAAGACTCCCCTACTGTTTCTGCTCTTGGCTGGAAAATGTTATTCTTGTATTATTCCAGGAAAAAAAACAAAACAAAACAAAACAAAAAAAACCCTCATGCTGCTAAAAATCTGCTGCCTGTGGAAAGATTTTTTAATACACTAGTGCTTACATATTCTATTTATGTTAATTGACTTATAAATAATACATTTTATTAATCTTAATATTGGAGTCTTGATCATGATAAAGACCCTTTTATGTGCTCTCCTCGCAGGCTTCACAAGTAAATATTCCTTCGACCAGAGAACGGCCCCCCTTTCCTCCTCCATAAGTACTTTGATACTTCCCCCCACCGCCGAAGACAGCCCCGTCCAAAGCGCTGACAGTGCGGGTGTTGTTTCTGAGCACAGCACGTTTGAGGTGTCGAGGCGCATTTTTGCGAGCCCCGTCCTTCCTTTCCTTGTGCAAAGATTGATTAAATCTTACCTGCGCTGCAAATATTTGACAAAAATCCTGCGTTCGTTTCAGACATGTCACATTCTGCTAAACTATTTGGATAATAGCAGATCGCATTCTTCCTGCGTTGGGCAATATTGACCTTAACTTGGCTGTGCAGCGAGCGGTAATGGCATGTGAGCCGGAGCTCTAACCGTTCTGAGAGCTGCCTTAGCTTTATTACTCCTGTGCTATAAAAGCTTCTAATAATCAAATGATAAGATCATATCCTGTGGGTAATTGTGTTGTACCATGACAGGATAACTGAAAAAACACTCAGTGAAAATTGTAACCAGCGGAAGTCTCAACACGCAGAGCGTTCCTGTGTGGTTGGGCTCCGTGTGCCGCCTTGCGTGGGATCCCCCGTGCCCCCTGCACCCACAGCGCTCCGTGCGCCAGGCGGTGTGCTGGGAGCGAGGCGGAGAGCTCCTCCAACAAGCCATCCTTGTGTTTTGGTTCCGTTTTACCTTAGTCATGCCTGCTTCCAGATACAAGAAACATTTAATTCCAGATTTCCTGCTGCTGGCTCCAGGCCTTTGACCGGCGATGTGAAATGTATTTTTACTGCTGTCGAACTGCCAACTGCTGAGCTCAGTGAAAAATAACTAAAATGAAAATGTTGTACTCCCACGTGAACTCAGGATAAGAAAAGGAAATTTTAAGGCACAGTTGCTAATTAGCACCAAAGCTAATGAGTTCTGGTGAGGTGCACCACAAGGAGGAGGAGCTCTGGGAGGCCGGCTGGGAGGCGTGCAAGCACTCGCCATTGCTGCAGCCCAGGCCCAGCTGTGCCTAGAGCCCCCCATGTACCATCTTTGCAGCAGTGCCCACCATTGGGCCACAACTACGTGCCCTCCTTGCAGCAAGGCACACCAGTGGGCCATGGCGCCTGCTTGCACAGCACTTGGACGCTCTGAGGGCCTGTTGAGGGGAGGTGGGAATTTGTAACGGGCAGCGTGTTTCTATGGAAACAAAACAAAGCCAAACAGTCGCCTCGCAGCGCTAACAAGTATTGTCATAAAACGTGTTTTTATTAAAAGCGAGTTTAAATATTTAACACATGGCAGAGCGACATCAGTGTTGCCCTGTGTGAAGCCCAGCCTTGCCTCGAGTCAAGTCCGAAGAGCGCTGTGCAGCACAGGGAGGCATCCGGTGCTTGCACGAATATTTGTGCTTTGTGAGTGAAATTCAGCAGCCTCAAGTATGAACAAGATTATTTTTTTCTGATTCTGCTTAGTTATGCTTTTTATTATATAAACATTAACTGTAATATTACAGTGGGAAACAGGTATTTGGCAACTACATATTATTTTGCTAAGTTTGCATAGAGGGAGCAGTTTCCAGTTTTAGCAGCTGTAACATGTTTAAACTCAGTTTGTAATGGGATCTGAAGATGAATATTCCCTGTGGGCTCTGCTTAGCTTCATTACTGGAGCCCTGCCAAATTCAGGGCTAGAAAGTATTATTCACGCCTCTTTGCACATACCATGTCAGAGCATGCTCAGTTAATGAATTTTGGTTCTAATATAGCATAAATTAGGTTTATATTTTAACATAATTTATGTTGTATTTTATTAAAATGTAAAATATTATGATCACAAGCAATCTAATTTCTGCTCTCTTAAGCCCAAACTGTGTTTGAACATCTAAGTATGTAAATCAAAATTGCATGCTTAGGAGCTGATTCTAGGATAACAAACGAATATCTGAACCAAAGAGGTTTCTGCCTTGGAGTCCTAGATTAAAGATAATTAAGGATTCCTGGTATTTGAACAGATTTATGTTGTTTATAAGCAAAGTACATTTTCCTCACAGAGTCAACTTGTCTTAAAAAAAAAAAAAAAATTATGTTTGCTGTATTAAAGTTCATATTTTTAAAGTCTCAGTCTTGTATTAATCCCACAGTGAGTCATTAATCATACCAAATGCATTATAAAAACTTTAATCACTGAAGTTGAAACTGAGATTGTAATGCAATCCATCCCTTTTAATTATATCAGTTATTTTTCCTTTCAGATGAAGAATAGCAAAGGGAAAACAGATAGATTAAAACTCAGAGTGTTTGATGCTTTTGGGGGAGAATATTTTCTGTTTGTGTTTCTTTCTTTTTTTTAAAGCGATTCTGTATGCTTTGTGGAGGAAGGTTCCACTGCTCAAAATTCTTTCACTTTTAACTCTTGAAGAGAAAAGACTCATTTGGGAAGGCAGGGACCATGGTGACTGTCACCCTTTGAGGGTGTGTTTGGAAGGGTCGGGTTGGGCTGGCACTGCACCACGCTGTGTGCTGTGCCTGCTGTTGCAGGTTTCCATACTCGAATGTCTTCCACCCAGTTTCTGGCATTTATCCTTGCACTCGGGGGAGCCTCCAGCCTGGAAATTGTATAGCTGTTATCGGGTTGGCTGTGGCTTTGGAGGTGTTTCCTTGGGGTTTGCTGCGTGCTTTTAAGGGTTGGGAGAAAAAATAAAAGTAAATGGTTGTGTCTTTTTTTAATCAGTCTAAAACACAGTAGCTCTTATCCTCATCTGTACAAATTGGTGTGGCTGTGTGAACCACTGCAGCCTTACTGACAATTGATATGCGCCAACTCCACTCAATTTATGCCACACGGTAATCTTGCCAAATAAATTGATTTATCATACTTGGATTTGTAGATATAGAGTTTACAGTGATGCTTTTATGCCACGGAAGAAAATAGATATATTAAGTAAACTGCTCACAGTAGATACATTTTATTCTTTGCTAGAAAAGCAAAACCTGATCAATTATTTGTTCCTTAATCCCCTAGATTAATCCTGCCGTATGAAAGATTTATTAAAGGAGAGGAAGATAAGCCACTGCCTCCAGTGAAACCTCGAAAACAGGATAACAGTTCCCAGGAGGGTGATGCGAAAACAAAAGTGTCTGGAACAAAACGCATCAAAAATGAAAACCAAAAGAGCAAGAAGGAGAAAGATAATGCACAGAAACCCCAAGATGCATCTGAGGTTGGTTGCTTCCCTGCTTTTCAACTTTTCAATTAAAAAAGTGCTGTTTTAATCAATCAAAATTCAGTGATAAAATACATAATTTAAACTGGAGAATCCCGAACAGTTGGCCTTTGAGTTTGCTCAGCAGTAGAAGTTCAATTGGTGTGGTACTATCTCTGTTGTGATTTTGCAGGGTTACAAACAGCCACTGGTTAGCTCCATATTGCTTAGGAGTGATGGCAGAAGACCAAGCTCTAGATAAAATAAGTATCATTTCTGCTCATTGTGTTACACAGTGGTCACCACGAAAAGATCAGCATCTGCCAAAAGGAAACCACACAACTACTACAGTTATTTCCTAATCTTAAGTATAGGGTGCGGGAACCTCTAATACTGCTGATAATGTTGTGGTAACTGGGTATAGCTGGTCTTCATTGTAGTAACATCTGGATTAGCCCTGCTGCACTTACAGATGTATGCACATATCCATCAGAAAACATATCACTTCTCAGGATTTTTATCATGTTATACTAAATTTCTCTTTAGACTCGAAGGTCAAATTTTGAGCAAACACCTGCCAAGCTTTAACTGAGACTGAAGTCTCTCACGTACCACAGATGGTTTTCAGCAGAGATGCTGCTAACCTGCTTCACGTGGGCAGGTCCTGGTTTCCACATAGAATCACATTATGTGTGCTCATGGGACAGCTCCAATTTTGTGTTCATAGCCCATGTAAAGATAGATCAGTGGAATTCATACTTGTCTGCAGATTAAGGGTAAGTTTCGTATGTTGCTCAGTGCTATAAAACTAATGGACATTTTGCTCCAGAATTTCCTAAGCATGTCTTTTGCCCATCTGAGCCACTCTGTGTCCTCCTTGCACCTTGTGTAAGTGAGACCTTGAAGCTCCTTGCACACAACTAAATACACAAGATGTTGCTTTTTCTGTCTCAGTCTGCCAGATCGCAGCAGCTTTCAAGGCGTTGCAGTGAAAGTAAGTATTTAAAGAATGTTGAAACACATGACATGCCCGGCAGACTACGGCTGCTCCCTTGCCTTCATTGCTGTCTGGCAGGTACATAAGTCCTGTTTCTAAACCAGTTTGAAATCAGTATTGAGTCAACTACCAACAACTCTCCTCCTTGTTGCTTAAAAACATCACAGAACTAGTAAGCATGGATGCATTTGAGAATTTGCATGTTGTTTCAAGAACAGAATATTCTGATTTTGATGTCCCACTACCATTTTAAGTTGTTCTTACACTGGAAAATGTCATCTGAGGTCCAAACCAGAATTTGTTTTCAGTTGCCTTGATCAACAGCATCTTTAATGTCAAATGTAAGAGTGCTCTACAGAGAGGGATTTTTATTTTCTCTTGCACTGTAATTTTAAAGCAGAGAACACTGCTGGGGGAAAGCTCCTCTGCTTCTGATTGCAAATACCTGAAGTGCATATAGCCTCCTTAAGTCAGTGGAACATTGCAACACAGATTGCCCAAAGCAAGGAAGTGCAAAGCTAAGGCTTATGCTCCCTTCCCCGTCACTCCTTTGTGCCCACTTGTTTACTGTGGGGTCTTAGATCAGCGAGATACCTTACGTACTGTTGGTACTGCCACAGTTAAGCACAGCATAACAAGCCAGCAACAGGGCATCAGCCTTCACTTTGAATTTCCTTGCTTTTGTTGTTCCCTATCTGAAACTTCCTGCTGCTTAAACTGCAGTTATTTTTGTGTGTGGTTTGCAGGAAGAGTTCTTAGAGCTGCACTTACCGGAAGCAGAAGGAGCTGAGCCGAGACAATAAAAATACACAAATGCGGCCATTTCCCACTGTAAAATGGTACCTTTTAAAGAAGAATGAATCTCTCACCTCTAGGGTGGATGATGGTGTCCTGCTCCTGTTTAATCAGGACAGGCACTTAAAAACTGCATTCTTCACACAGGTCACTGTATGGATGGTTGCACGAAGCCAGAGAAGTGAGGAGGCCCACGGGGGTGGACGCTTCCCCCCTAGGCAGGTGCTCATCGGTGCTCCTCTGCAGATGGAGCTCTGTGCCCAAGGCATCATCCAGTCCTTCAGGGTGGAGCAGCCTCCAATCTGCTGTGGCCTGGTTAGAATCATAGAGTGGCCTGGGCTGAAAAGGACCTCAAAGATCATCTAGTTTCAACTCCACTGCTATGTATGGGGCGCCAACCACCAGA